AAATAAAGTTTAGGGAGTGGCTGAGTCAGCACCCTGGTCATGCCAAGGCTGCCTTGACAAAGTCCCTCTCAGATGGGCCTGTGATGGCAGTGGCTGTGTGGGACGAGTGCCAGCCATCTCTGCTGCTCCCTTGTACCTCCTTTCCCTCAAAGTCCATGCGTCAGTATGTAAACTGCAGTAATTCAGAAGCTTATCCAGATTAGCAGTTCTTGACTATTTAAGAATCTGTGATGTCCCCTCAACAGAATGCAAACAGACTGAGTTTGGCAACAATTTCAGATTGTTCAAGGACTCTCTTTAAGCCGCTCTAAGCCCCTCTGTAGAACCCTTGTCCCAGCTGACACTCCATCTCCTCAGTTGGAGAAAGTGCCATAGCCGAGGTAATAAGTTGTGTTAGTTAACAGACTCAGATGTTCAGACTCCCCAGTCCAGTGTTCATTCCACTCTTTCGAGCCTCCACCCAAGGTCCTGAATTAAAGTGAGGCTGTTAGTGTTTATTGTTGCAAATGCCAGATGGTGGTATGAGTAAGGGAAAGTGGTCCAGCTCTACACAGTTTGCAGAGTGATTTCCAACTCAGTACTTCATTCCACAAACATTCACTCATGAAAGGATGCCTGCCATGTGCCAGGCACTGGGCTGAGGGCCCAGAGAGGAGGACACAGCCCCTGCTCCCAAGTTTACTGAGGGAGGCAGAGAGACAAAGTCAACAATTATGAAAGAGCCCGAGGGCTTTGATGGAGGCCTCAGAGAGAAAAGACCCCACAGGGAGGGGCCCTTGGCCCTCTATCTGCTCAGAGCCTGCTTAAAAGTCATGCACCTAAGGTGCAGAACCACACTTAAGTTCTCCTCCACCTTAACTCAAACTCATGGTCTCCCACTGCTCAGGCAGACTACCTCTATTATGGTTTTGTAGACAAAGCTTTGAAGATTACAGCAGCAGGGAACTAACCTTGATCTCATCAGCTGTGCATTAGAAGCCACTCTCTGACTGGATTAGGGGCTAGGTTGGGGTGGCTGTAACCTAAAGGATCTAGAAAATATGATGGGCTAGAGAATTTCACCTGTGGTTGTGTGCTGGTACACTAACTGGGTAAAAGAGTTCAGAGGAGGATTTAGGAAAACACATAGGCTCAGTTTGAGAATGGGAAGTGGTAGGGTCATTTACTAGTCAGAGTAGATTAAAATGATGAGATCAGGTTTGAAAATTTGAGTTTAAGATGTCTCTGGAGGCCAGGTGTGGTGGCTCATGCCTGTAATCCCAGCACTTTGAGAGGCCAATGTAGGCAGATCACTTGAGGTCAGGAGTTTGAGACCAACCTGGCCAACTTGGTGAAACTCTGTCTCTACTATAAATTCAAAAATTAGCTGGGTGTGGTGCTGCATGCCTGTAATCCCAGCTACTTGCGAAGCTGAGAATTGCTTGAGTCTGGGAGTCAGAGATGCAATGAACTGAGATCGCACCACTGTACTCCAGCCTGGATGACAGCAAAACTCTGTCTAAAAAATAATAATAATAAAATAACAAATAAAAAAATTAAAAAACAAAAATAAAGATGTCTCTAGGACAGGACACAAGGTGCCTTTGAGAAATTTCCTTGGGTGCAGGGGTCTGGAGTGCAGGGATGCTATCTGGTGTGGAAATGTAAACTCAGGAGTCCTTTGCTCCTCTACTGAGCAGCACTGCACCGCCCACCCCCACCCAGGGGGCATTTGGAAATGTGTCAGGGAGGTTTGGTTGTCACAATGACTGAGGAGCACTACTGCAGGCTTTATTCAGTTCATAGCACTGTCCTGGACAACAAAGAGTTGTCCTGTCCCAAATAGTGCCCTATGGGGAATTGTGTATGGCTGAGCTTGCCTAGGCTGAGTGAACCATGTAGAATGAGAAGGAAAGAAGAGGAGGCCATTACCCTGGAGAGAGCCCCAACACTGGAGGGGAAAGGGCAGAAAGAGTTGTCAGCAGAGGAGACCCACCAGCGAGGACTATGCTGCCTCAGGTGCACCTGCAGCTCCACACAAACCTTCTGGGCCCTCGCCACTCCTTCTCAGGCATGGTCTTCCACCAGCACCTCCACAGGGCCCACCCCTGACCCCAGTGTGGTATCACTGCTCCCCCACCTTTTCCTTAAGACAGATAGGCTCGGTGGCTTGGGTTTGGGGCCAGGAGTGAACCAGAGATAGCGACTAGGAGGAACAATCCTGGGGAAGCTTTGAGGGGAACCAGCCATTTTCCTCTCTGCAAGAGGACCAAAATGAAACCCAGGATTTCCTGGGTTTAATAAATTGTCAGCGGTTGCGTTTGGGTGGGGAGGGGGAACCTTGGTTGGATATAAATTACAAAAAAGATAAGGGGAAGTGGGGAGAATTTGACTGTTTTCTTCTTTTGATGTAAGACCACGCAGCCACAGATCAAAAACGCTTCCATTTCTGGCTGGTTGGGGAACTGAAGCTCAAAAAACTGTGGCCGGTTTAGGTATACTGAGGGCAGGGTCTGCTGATAAAATGGTTCAGTGCCTCAGGAACGCCTATGAAGGGAGTTGTTTGGGGAAACTCTCATTCCTAAAATCTTTTCAAAAAATGTATACATTTTCAAGGGAAAAGTGTATCATTTAAATTACATCATTATTTGCTTTCCAAAATGTGTATAAATCGTTCCTAAAATCTGAAGCAGGGTTCCGAAGTGTTCTGAAGCAGGAAACGATGGCTCAACCCTTCCCAGTGCCGCCTTCCTGCTTGAGGTAAGGCCAGGAGCCAGCCAGCGTCCAGGGCAGTGGTCCTGTGGGGGAGTGTGACCTGGTCCACTTGACTTGTCCCTTAACTGGCAGGAAGGAAACGTACCGCACAGCATCCCTACTGCCTAAGCAGAAGGCACCATTCTCTTCTTTCTTGATGTATGGCTGCAGGGAACAAAAAATTAAACTCCTCGCCTACTAATTAGTTTAATGATCACCTTGACCACAGCAAGGAGTATTTATAAATTGGGTGGTAAGTCAGACACACACTAAGACCGGTGGTTTTCTTTTATAATGAGGAGAACAAAATGAAACAACAACCTGAGACTTAAGGACTTTCGCTTTTTCCCCTCATTTTAAATAGAGAAAGTTTGGGAGTTGGAGGGAGCAAAAGGGACTGATGACCAAGTTGATGTATAAGGAAGCAAACAGTGTCAGCTTGCTGGGGTTCTCTCTAAATGCAAATAGTGCGAAGTTCCCAAACCAGGCTGGGGAGCCAGAGTGGGGTTTAGTCCCCATTCCACTGCTGCTAGTTGTATGACTCAACAAATTATTTTCCACTTCAACTTCCCAGTGAAATGGGGGTAATAGTAGTGTTCTGTTTGGTTGTATGAGGATTCAGTGGGACCAGTCGTGCGTGTGAAAGGCCTAGCACAGCATCCAGCACACTGTTAATGGTACGTGCTCACTGTGGAGATGAGCAGGAAGCCAGAGACCCTGAGAACGGACACTTAAACCCTATCGGCTTAAAAAGAGTTGGACGGAGACCAGGGCCTTCAAACACATGGACAGTTTTCCTAACCAAGTTATTATAATGTGGGCCCAGGCAACAATCTTGTTTTCCTCTGTGTTTTCCAGTTTACTGTATGCCCCTTTGATCAGTCTATAGAAACCCAGAAGCTTTTAATTAGGAAATGAATTCCTGGTTCATGAAGTTAGAATATAAAGCAGTCAAATTAGCTTTTCCCCCACAGAAGCTATGTTTGGTGGTGGGGGTGGTGGGCAGCTTGTTTTTGTAATGTAGGGTTCACTCGAATGGTAGGGAAATGAGGGGAATTAATATGTTGACTGCCTACTGCGTTCCAGGCATGTGCTGGGTACTTTAATACAGGGCTTTACAAACTGTCCACAATGAAGGACCAATTTTATTTTTTCCAGGCGGCCATGGACTGATATGTTTGCATCAATATATTTGAATGCTGCGTCATGTCAAAATGCTATAAACAACCAGGCACGGTGGCTCACGCCTGCAACCCCAGCACTTTGGGAGGCCAAGGCGGGCAGATCACTTGAGGCCAGGAGTTTGAGACCAGCCTGGCCAACATGGCAAAATCCTATCTCTACTAAAATACAAAAATTAACTGGGTGCGGTGGTGCACGCCTATAATCCCAGCTACTCAGGAGGCTAAGGCACAAGATCACTTGAACGGGGAGGCGGAGGCTGCAGTGAGCCAAGATCAGGCCACTGCACTCCAGCCTGGGTGACAGAACAAGACTCTATCTCAAAACAAAAACAAACCAAAAAAATTCTATAAACATTTCTAAATGCTCCTCTCAAGTTCTGTACATTGCATTACAAATCAGTTCATCAGTTACCCTCTGAGTGCACTTCATCTCCCTTCTTCCTGAAAGCCGGCTCTTCCAGACTTCAGGCAGGAGCGGCTGAGCAGGGGGGAGTACAGCAACAAAACAGCCTCCACTTCCAGGAAACTGAGCACCGTGGAGGGGACGTGGTCAGATTCTCGTTATGATCAGCTATAGGAGGAGGCAACAAATTAAAGGAAAAAATAATAATTTTAGAATGATGGGTGAATGTTGTTTAACTATAAAGGGCAGAAAAAAATAGTACATTGGCATCAAGTTTAAACATTACTCGGAGATCCATGAAGGTATTTCTTGAGTTTTTGTCCATTGAGGCAATGTATTATACCTTAGGTCAAAAGAATTGCTTTGACCTAAGCATTTTTGTTTTGTTTTGTTTTGTTTTTTGAGACGGAGTCTTGCTCTGTCGCCCAGGCTGGAGTGCAGTGGCCCGATCTCAGCTCACTGCAAGCTCTGCCTCCCGATTTCCCACCATTCTCCTGCCTCAGCCTCCCAAGTAACTGGGACTACAGGCTCCTGCCACTGCGCCCAGCTATTTTTTTGTATTTTTAGTAGAGATGGGGTTTCACAGTATTAGCCAGGATGGTCTCAATCTCTTAACCCTGTGATCCACCTGCCTCGGCCTCCCAAAGTGCTGGGATTACAGGTGTGAACCACCGTGCCCGGGCTTGACCTAAGCATTTTCAAATACTTTTATGTATTTTTAAAAATAAGATAAATCTATATCTAATACAGCACGTTCAAAATGTCCCCTCCTTGCCGTCTATAATTTACTGTTAAGATTTTGGGGTAAAACGGATTGTATAATAAGAGGGCATGAACATGGGCAGCTCAGATGGTCCTGGGCATCATGTCTGTTTCTCTGAGCCAGCTGCTTCTATGTGATCAGATTAAAGGGGCTGATAGTCATGAAGGAGCAGCTGGATTAAACCAGATTACCCTGATAGTGACGAGATGCAGGCTGCTTAACCCTTACCAGTCAGAGACACTCAAGAGTGAAAAGAGAATCTAAAACTCCTCCAGAAAAAGAGAAACTGGGTAGCAGCAAGTAGCCCAAAGAAGCATCTTTCTTGCTTTTATCTTAATTTTATGTTTTAACAACAACAAAACAAAACCCAAACTGGACACACCATTTCAAATTCAAAACAGGAGATTAAATCCAGCAAACACTCCCACCTCCGCCAACAGCTCTGGAAAGGCAGTGCCTTTGTTTGTGAAAGACCGCAAGGCACAAAGGTAGCATTTTCCTCTCAAAGTGATGCAGCTTTTTCTTGGCCCCTTCGCTGGACTTATGGAAGGGGTGCCTTATCTACTGGGCCTACCGTGCTCAACCCCTTGTGGGAGGGAGCACATGAATGAGCAAGTGCAGGATCCAGCCAGCCAGCTGCTCCAGGCACTGACACAGGAGCAAGCTCCTCGAGGGGAATGTGGCAGCACCCAGGTAAGGGTGTCCATGACCCCGAAGCCCCAGAGGGGCTGTTACAGTGCTCGTTTAGTTCCACCATCTGCAGGTGGTGGCATGTTAGCAGCTCAGTTGGTCCCTTGCCTCACTGCACAGGGCATGCCACTGGTGAGGGGCAAAGGGCCAGTGTGACAGCCTTTTCTGGGTACCTGCACTTGGTGGGCCCTGAGCTCTTGTCCAGTGTCCAAGAAGAATGAGGTCACCCAGATGATTGAAGGATGGTGAAGGTGGAGAATTTTACTGAGCGATGAAAATGGCTTTCAGCAGAGAGGGGAACTGGAGAAGGAATGGGAAGGGCAGGTTGTCTTCCCAGAAGTCAGGTTGTCTCTTCCCCGAAGTCAGGCCGTCTCCCCCTCTACCAACTGAGTCTGGGATCTTTACAGGCACAGGATGGGAAGTGTGTGTTGACTGGTTTGTGAGTATGCAAAAAATGTTAAAGTGAAGACACCACTCAAAGGTGGGCAAAACAGTGTAGAAAACCACTTAGGAAAGATTAGGTATATGTAAAATAGGTGAAGGGTGGGGATCAATTAGAGGAAAGCGTTCAAACAGGAAGACAAGTTCTTGATCCAGTCCCAGGATTTAACTTGTAGCTTGGCTTTCAGGCTTTAAACCGTCTTCCACTTGGAGGTGGAATGTCACTGGATACCCACTCCTATCTGCCTAGGCATTTGGCCACCTCCTTTCACTATGAAAAGCAGGAGAAGAAGCAAGCAGTATCACAAATAGGATTTTAACATTCCGTAAAAGCAGCCCTATTCTAAGGGGAGATACTAGAATTATGGATGTAGGGGAAATTTCTCTATAAAAATGCATGGCAGAAATTAAGAAGAAGGAGAAATATGTATACGTAGATACAATATTGGCATCTAACTTAGAAGTCTTTTAGTGTGGCTGTTAAGGCTGGCAGTTTTCCCCAAATCAGGTTTACATTAAGAACATTAATTACCAGGGAAAATATATTCAGATTTTGCAAAGTAATATTCAACTCAACAATTTTAAAAAACATGCAAATATTCAATAACATAGACCTGAACACAGTGAGCACTTATCAAGATCACTAACAGACTAGCATCCGACAAAAGCTCAAAGACTTAGAATTTTTGCTTCATAGAGAGAACCATTTAATAAGATCATGTATGGTTATATTCATACACTTTGAATTAGGAGGAAATTTTAATCTATTTATCCCTGGTGAAAATTAAATGGTCCTTAACTATCCTGTGTGGATTCAATGCTAGATGCTGGAGAAGTGCAAAGGAGAGAAAGGAGTCACCTCTCCAGCCTTGTGAGGACCTGGGAGGCTTCTTGCAGGAGGTGATGCCTGAGCACCAGTCCCAGTAAGCAACTGCCTATTGGACAGCTGTCATGTCAGGTTCCAGCCTACTTGTGCTGACTCCAACCAGGAGCCCAGAGGTTTCACAAGAACTCAATGGTCAATTAATTGCGAGGCTTTCACATACCAACAATCATGCAAATATATTCAACACACACAGGCAGTGATAGGGGAGGTCGGGGCGGGCATGGTGGTTCACACCTGTAATCTCAGCACTTTGGGAAGCTGAGGTGGGAGGATCACTTGAGGCCAGGAGTTTCAGACCAGCCTGGGCAAGACCTCATCTCTACAAAAAATTTTAAAAGTAGCCGGGTGTGATAGCACACTCCTGTAGTCACAGCTACTCAGCAGGCTGAAGTGGGAGGATCGTTTGAGCCCAGGAGTTCGAGATTGTGGTGAGCTATTAATGTACCAGCCTGGGCTACAGAATGAGAATGCATTTCTTTAAAAAAAAAAAAACAAATAAACAAACAAAAAAAGAAACCAGAGGAAACGAGCCATGGCAAGTAGCTCCAGAGACCAGCACGCTGACCGATTAACCGATTTGGATTTCCCTCGAAACAATAAAGTGGGAGGAGTGTTGTGGCTGTTCTTCTCCCTGCAGAACTTATGGCAGCCTCTGCTCATGAGGAGGAGGCCTCAGAGTTCTCATGGGCAGAGCTTCTACAGGCTCTCGGCCATGGTCACTTTCTTTACTGTTTTTATACCCTACACAGGAATGTCCAATTTCATGTCTTAGCCACCTTTTAGCTTCACTTTCTTATTTTATTTTTTAAAATTAATTTTGGAGACAGGGTTTCACCATGTTGCCCAAGCTGGTCTGGAACTTCTGAGCTTAAGCAATCCACCTGCCTCGGCCTCCCAAAGTGCTGGGATTACAGGTGTGAGCCATCCCACCTGGCCTTGGCTTCACTTTCTTGTCAAGTTTTGGGGTTGCCTGGCCGCAGCAGGTATTATCATCTCAGATCAAACCATTCTCGAGGTTAAAAATAAACCTTGAGAATATTATGTTAATAAAAACAAACCAGTGACAAAGTGACAAATAGTATATGATTCCACTTGTATGAAATAAGTAGCCAAACTCACAGAAAGTAGAATGGTGTTTGTTAAGGGCTCCTGAGGGGGTAAAATGAGCAGTTGTTACTTAATAGGTATTCAGTTTCAGGTTTACAAGATGTAAAATTCTAGAGGTCTGTTGTATAACAATGTGAATATAGACAACAATATTAAATTATACACTTAAGAGGATTTAAGATGGTAAATTTTATGTTATGTATTGTACCACAATATGTTTTTATAAAACAATAACTAGAAGAAAAAAAAGACTCCATTTTGAGATATTTTGAATCACAAAACATTATTATATATCAATAGCCCCACCTGGATGTCCCAAGACACCTTAGTCCCAGCATGTCCAAACCTAAGTGTCTCCTAATTCTCGTAGGAATTTAGAAGTCATCCCAGATGCCTCACTTCCCACCTCCTGTGGGATCTGGACGAGGGAGAGGGATTAGGCAATGGGAAAGGGTGAGTGTGGTGTGGTTGCAGGTAAGATGGGGGCGTAGTGGCCACCACGTGAGGGGTTTAGGAGTCTCCAGGGTCATGGCGACTTGATACGAATTTGCATTTCAGCAAGATTGTTATCAGCAGAACAAAGTTGAATGGAGCCAGGAGAGCCCGGGCTGGAGACCAGCTCATTGGACCTTGGGAAGACATTCTACCTCCTATTTTGACCTCAAGTTTGCCAGGACCAACGCGGCTAGAACAAAGCCTGTCATGACAAAATAGCCAATTGGGAAACCTTTGAATTTTCCTCCCACCCTCAAAACACCTTTCAGGCACTCAAGAGAAAGGGAGAATGGAAGGGGAAAGGAAGAAAAACAGGGTCTCTTGCGCTCTGCAGGTGTGCAGGGCAGCCCTCCACAGGCCACAGGAAGCTTGGCAGCAGGGAGCAGGTGACTGCTGTGCATCTGGGATGAGACCAGCACCTTCCCCACACACTGCCAGCCATCCCCCACCCTAAGACAGTGGGAGCATGTTGCACTCTTTCCACAACTGGCAGAGTCAAGCCTAAAAACTGCTAGAATCCCTTCACTTTCTTCCAAATTCCAGCCTTGTAAAGAGTGGTCAGATTTTCTTAATGTTGATATGAAAGCCATGAGAATACAGTTTTCCTTGGTATCCTGGAGTAGGGGAAGGATTGGCTCCAGGAACCCTTTGCGGATGCCAAAATCCAAGCATTCTCAAGTCCCTTGTACATGATGAAATGGTGTAGTATTCGCATATAACCTCCATGCATCCTCTCATCTGCTCTAAATCCCCCTAGATTACCTATAACACCTGACACAATGTCAATGCTCTGTAAATCATTGTTATAGATTATTTTTCATTTGCATTATTTTTTAGGGTTGTATTGCTATTTTTTATTTTTTGAATATTTTTGACCTGAGGTTTGGTTGAATCCAGGATGCAGAACATAACTTTTCCACAAAACAATTTAAAATACTTGTCAAAAGATAAAATTACTACAATTTAATTTAAAAGATTTTATTTGGCTTTATTTGCAATTCTAGAATTGGGCAACACTTCATTCCATAAAATAGCGTGTGCTCCAGTGAGGTAAACAGAGGAGGTGGTTTTACAAACAGAAAAGAGCTAAAGAAAGCAGAAACACAAGAAAAAGCAGATTGGTCATTTCAGTTATTTTCTTTGTAAGGTGGGAACGGGGAAATAGAACAAAAAAAAAAATAACTGATTGGTTAAGATGAGGTTTCTTCAGGTCATAATTTTTCATTTTTTTGGTAAGGATTAAAGTAGAGGGAACCTTATTATCATGCTGACTGAAACTGGCCTGTTTGGGATATTTGGCTGTTATCTCTCCTGATTTCTCTGAAGATCATATAACAACTCAATTTTGCTTTGATGACGTGGAACTTTAGTATGAGTGGCTCCATTCTGGGTTTTTATTCTGTTCTCTTGGGCCCCAGTGCAGGAGCAAAACAGTGGCCTCCTGAAATTTCTATTTAACGTGCTTTACTCTTATCAGAAGGACGAGATTGACCAGGGTTGGTTCAACCATAGCATGAGCTAATTATGGAAAAAGAACTTTGATTTTACTTGTTTTGTAATAACAGCGAACGTATTTACTGAGTCGGCATTCCCTTTCATGATTATCATATGAAGGAGGAAATTGGGGCACACGGGTTACATAACTTACCCTGAGGTCATGCAGCTGGTGGGGGAAGCCTGGGCTGCATGTAGACAGGCAGTTCTAGAGTCTGAGTTCACTGTGCCACTCAGGTTGGCTGGAGGAGGGAAAAGGCATCTTCCTTCCATTTCTCCTTGTGTTGAAGCCATTGCTGCAACCCAAGCAAGATAGGTTAAGGGAATCAACTCAGTTATGCAGGTGGAAGTAGAGGAAATGGCACCAGTGACAACATAGCTAGGAAATGTATATTTAGGCTAATGTAAAATATATATTTAGGAAAAGCAAGATAACTTATAGTATGTGAGAGGTACCTGAGATGATCCTGTGTCCCCACAGAGGGTACTTCCTGAAGTATTTCCATGAGTTGCTTCAGGAGTGGGCTGGTGGGGCAGCGGGAGGAGCTGAAGGGGGTAGAAGGGAGAGTATATATGTGATCAGATATGTATTTCTGACTTGAAGTGAAATATGCTGGAAAACAGACACAACTATAGTAAAGAAGAGTTACTCAATTCCTTTTTACCCCCTTGTACAGTCACTCATTAAAAGATAAGAAATTCGGCCAGGCACGGTGGCTTACACCTGTAATCCCAGCACTTTGGGAGGCAGAGGCAGGCAGATCACTTGAGGCCAGGAGTTTGAGACCTGCCTGGCCAACATGGTAAAACCCCATCTCTACGAAAAATTTAAAAAAATTAGCCGTGCAGCATGGCACGCACCTGTAATCCCAGCTACTTGGGAGGCTGAGGCGGGAGGATGGGAGGATCACTTTGACTTCAGGAGGTCGAGGCTGCAGTGAGCTGAGATTGTGCCACTGCACTCTAGCCTGAGTGCAGTGACATCTGACATCAGGGACTGCTGATAAGTTACTAAAAATAAAAAAGAAAAAAACAAAGAAAAAAGAAAAGAAGAAATTCTGTTTAGGAAACCTTGAATATGATTGATTTGACAAAACCTTTGGGAATGAGGAGAAAAGGAGCTGTGGAGATAAAAATGAAAGTTCGGGATCTCAGAGAACCTAAGGAACTTTGGTAGATGAGAAATAGGATAATTGGAAGAGTATCTGAGAGAAAGAAAGAGATTAAGCAAACAGAGGACTGTGGCCAACATCATGCCAGGGAAACATGAAGAGCAAGGTTCTGAGTAACCATGCTGTAATTACTTTCTGAAACATTGTAGTCTCCACAGTGTGCTTAGGGCAGTATTTACAAACCTACGGGCTGATGTTAAAATAGTTTTGTGCTCAGGTAGCATGTCTCCTACAGAGACAGGGGGCAGGAGACAAGCCTGAGTTGTAAGGGTAATTAGAATCAGCAAGAAAAAGAATGGAAGAAGAAAGTTGGTGTGCAGGGAGAGGAATTTATTTTAACTTCTCCATCAAGTGTGTTCTGCTATAGGCACAGCACAGGCTGTGGGCGCAGCACCCTCTAGTGTCTGGGAGAGTCACTGTAGCTTTGTGGTGTGGTAGGAGCACAGTTGTTCAGCTCCGTTAACTTGAACAAATATTTACAGTCGTGTTCTCTCTAGTGACCCAGGGCCTACTTGGTGTGCCTGACTGTTGTTCTAAGCTTTAGTCTTACCACCTCTCCACCTCCAAATGGGGGCGTTCAGGCCTGGCCTGGCTTTAGGCAAGGCTATGAATTGTATGCTGTGGAACTGTCTTTCAATGTCTGTGAATTTGCCTACTAGTGCCTTTAGCAGGGAGGGTGGGGTGCTCTGCCATGTTTGAAATAAAGGCCTTAGTCTTTAGTTTCAATTTAACCTGCAGTTTAAGATTTCACGCAGTATAATGCAGCCATAAAAATGGATGAGATCATGTCTTTTGCAGGGACATGGATGAAGCTGGAAGCCATCATTCTCAGCAAACTAATGCAGGAACAGAAAACCAAATACCACATGTTCTCACTCATAAGTGGGAGTTGAAGATTGAGAACACATCCACACAGGGAGGGGAACATCACACACCGGGGCCTGTCGGGGGGTTGGGGGCAAGGGGAGGGCATCAGGACAAATACCTAATGCATGTGGGGCTTCAAACCTAGATGACGGGTTGATAGGTGCAGCAAAGCAGCATGGCACGTGTATACTGATGTAACAAAACTGCAGGTTCAGCACATGTATCCCAGAACTTAAAGTGGCAAAAAAATTCAAGTGGTATAACAGAAGCATCACTTTGCACAGTGGTCCCTGATGTCTGATGTGGGACCAGCAACGACTTTGAGGAATATTTTGGTGACAATCAGCTATCTTGAGGTGGCTATTTCTAGACTGATTACCTCCTTTCCTCTCATCCTCCCTCCCTCGCTTCCTTCCTTCCTTCTTCCCTCCCTCCCTCCCTCCCTCCCTTCCCTCCTTCCTTCCTTCCTTCCCTCCCTCCCTCCCTCCCTCCCTCCTTCCTTCCTTCCTTCCTTCCTTCCTTCCTTCCTTCCTTCCAATGTAGCCAGTCTAAAATATTAAGAGATTAAAAAACTCCCTTAAGCCTTTTTGCCCCCATCAGGCTGCTTTGGATGCAGCTCCACCATTTGCTACCTTAGTGTTACCATGGGCGGGTTCCTCAGTCTCATTACATGGAAAAGGGAAATAGTAGGATGTACCATGTAGTTTTTTTGCAAGTATTAAGTGAAGTAATGCCTGTAAAGCACACAGTACCTGACACAAAGAAGCCATTGAGCAATGTCAGCTAGGCAGCAATAGCATTAAAGCTGTGAGCTTTGTTTCCCTGGAGAAGAGGTTCAGATTAGCACTGAGCCTCTTCAACAGAAAGGGCTGGTAACTTGAGATGAGTGAAAACCTCTGACCTTCCTTGGAAACACTATTTTGGATAGTGGTTATTTAACAAGTACAAACACTTGAGTTTGGGGCCAAGCACTGTGCCTGGTGCTAAAGAGACGGAAGGCATGGTCTTTGACTTCAAGGCGTTTATGATCTTGTTAGGAAAAACAAAAGCCACGGACCACTAAGCGCAGTGCTGGTGCCGAGCAGCGTGTGTCTGGTGCCCGTGGTGTGGTTAATGCGGTGGGGCTGCCTGTAAAAGCAGCTAGATAAGCGCTTTTGGGGGAGGTAAGTTTGGAACAGTGCCTCATCCAAGAGCTTGCTTCATGGGGCCCAGCTCTGACATTCTCATCACTTGTTTGGCAGCTCTTTGCACCACCCCTGAAGGAGAAAAGACATATTCCACAGTGGAAGCAGGCTTCATCCACTCTCTGGTAGCATGACCTTGACCAAGTTATTTAACTTCCCAGCTCCGGGTTTCTCATGAACAAACTAAGTTCTATGGCGAGGATAGAGTCCAGCCCACTGCCTGGCACATGGCAGGTGCTGTGAACATTTCCATCTCTCTCTCTCTCTCTCTCTTTCTTGTTTTTGAGACGGAATCTCGCCCTGTCACCCAGGCTGGAGTGCAGTGGCACAATCTTGGCTCACTGCCATCTCCATCTCCTGGGTTCAAGCAATTCTCCTGCCTCAGCCTCCTCAGTAGCTGAGACTACAGGCATGTGCCACCACGCCCAGCTAATTTTTATCTTTTTGATAGAGATGGGTGTCACCATGTTGGCCAGGCTGGTCTCAAACTCCTGATCTCAAGTGATCCGCCTGCATCAGCCTCCCAAAGTGTTGGGATTACAGGCATGAGCCACTGCACCCTCTTTTCTTGATTACCTTAAAATAATAAAATGAACACTTGGATTTGGCCACTTAGTGTCCTTCCTTGTCACTAGGACTTTCCTAGCCCGTTGGCAATGAGGAAAGAAGGCTTAGTAAATCAACACTACTACTACTGCTGCTGCTACTGCTATTACTACTAGCTGTGAACACCAGAATAGCTCAGATTGCTTTTGAACCTGTGAGAGGGGCCAAAATCCAGGTCTTATGTGTTCCCAAGGGGCCCCTAAAATGCCACATGGGAATTTTAGGGAAAGAGGACCAGGTATCAGTCTCTGTGCTGATGGGAAGGAAAGAGATTGGCAGCACAGACACTTTCTCCTACCTGTCTAGAGGGGAACACCCTCACGTTCAACTGTGGGAAACGCCTGCATCCTTTCCCTGGGGGAGTTCGTCAGACCAAACAAATCTGTATCTAAGAACATGTTTCTCCAGGAAGGCGGGATCTGACATGGATGGCAGATCTAGAGACCCAAAGATCCCTTCTGCCTAGAGTTACATGGAGTGTGCTTTTTCCTTAGTCCTGGCGAAGTTGCACCAGTGGGTGGGATGAGGTCAGCAATTAGTCAGCTCTTCCTCGGCTAGGATTGTGCCTTCGGTTTGTAGGCTGTTTCCCAGGGAGGGAACCCAGCAGCAGCACTTTATCTCACCCTGTGGCATGTCACTAGTGACAAGTGTGGTCCTCTGTATGCTTTGTGAGTGTGCTGGCCATGCCGTTGTTGGGTCGGTCACTGTGTTACGCAGACAAGTGAAGAAGGGCTAGGCAGGTGTGCGCAGCGTGCCATTTAGCGTATCCCCTCAGGCATGCACCCAGGAGCAGTGTGGTCTGAGCTTGTGTTAATTCTAAGAAGAAATAAACTAATGATGAAACTCTAGTTTGTAATGGAAAATGTTCATAAGGTAAAGTTATTATACATGTTAAATGATTTTTTTCAATTTTGTTTGTTTTAGGAGAACTATCCCATCCCTGAACCAGGCCCAAATGGTAAGTTCTTGGGAAACATAACTTATATTTTATTATTTCCTGTTGTTTCCTTTGGAATCACATGTATATTGTTCCTTTTCCTCTCTTTTCCTACTGTTTATTACTTTTGCGTCCATTAAAAACCTATGCTTTTGTTAGGCTGAGAACGGAGTCTACTGTGTGCAGCATGACCTGGTGGGAGGTTTATCTTGGCCGCTACGTGAAATAAAAAGAATAGTGATAGAATCAGAAAAATTACCGTACCAGACTGCTGACTCATCCCAAAGAGTTTTTAATGTGAAGTATATGGACCAGTGACAGAATTGTTCCTCTTTTGACCTAATGACAGTGTACCCTATCTACCAGAAGCTGCTGTTGGAGTGGCCAAGTGTCCTAACCCTAACCCAAACTTTGAAAAGGAGTGAGTCTACAGAACTTCATTTTTTTTTTTTTTTTTTTTTTTTTGGCTCTGTCGCCCAGGCTAGAGTGCAGTGGCCGGATCTCAGCTCACTGCAAGCTCCGCCTCCCAGGTTTACACCATTCTCCTGCCTCAGCCTCCTGAGTAGCTGGGACTACAGGCGCCCGCCACCTCGCCCGGCTAGTTTTTTGTATTTTTTAGTAGAGACGGGGTTTCACCGTGCTAGCCAGGATGGTCTCGATCTCCTGACCTTGTGATCCGCCCGTCTCGGCCTCCCAAAGTGCTGGGATTACAGGCTTGAGCCACCGCGCCCGGCCAGAACTTCATCTTTTAATTAGCAAAGGGAGCATCATGCCAGCTTTCCCCACTCCCCAGGAAGGCCAGTCACCAAAGTGTGCGGCAGCCCAGGACCTTCTGTCCAGTGGGGGTGGGAGGGGCTGCATGGGGCCCTGTCCTCTGCTCTAATCAACCAAGCACAGAAAGTGAGTGAGCACATGGGGCCAGGGTTTCCAACACCTTTACTCCGCTCCTTCCAGGCCTCTCACTTGCTAAGCCTGTGGGGCTCAGCTGACATGCTGATGCCCAAGGTGGCATCTGTAACTTCCCAGCCTTGGGTTTCTCATTTACAAACTGAGTGCTGTGGTGAGGATAGAGTCCAGCCCACTGTCTGCACATGGCAGGTGCTGTGAACATTTCCATCTCTTTTTTTCTGTTGGCTCAGATCCCTGCTGACAGCTGTCTAATCCCTCCCATCCCTGGAATCCCACTTTGTCATAATCATGCAGGAGCCTGAAGTGAGGCTGGGGGCAGTAGGCAGAGTGTCTGTAGATACTCACCCTCCCCTTCTCACACCTAGACAGTCACGTCCCCTTTCTACCCTTGAGAAGTTGGGGGTGTCCTTTCCCACTTTGTCCTACCTCACACCGGAACCGCAGCTTCTGGGTGAACATCAGATCGAAGGCAGCTTTCCTGGTGGATCCAGAGCTTTGCTACTGAAAGGTCACTTGTGTTATCGACTTGTAAGTGGTGAGAATACAGACTAGACAGAATATAGCCATTCTATGGGTGCTGAGCAAGTATTGTATAGTCAGGGTTCAAGGATTTTCACCAAGATCCGTGTTCAGAGAAGTGAAAGAGTTACCTCACTGTGTCCTGAAAAGTTGACTGTTGATTCCAGAAGTGGCCGAACGAGGGCTGTCTTGGACCCAGAGTACAAGCTTGGCTCCTGGTATAGCTTTTCTCCCTGAGGCAGCATTCTGCTCACACTCTTGTCTCTTGCTACACTTGCATCGGAAGGGAAAAGAGTGCATTTTAGCCAGTGTTATAGCAAAGTCAAATCTAATCTCTCGTTACCAGTTGCTACTTCAAGAGAGGAAATTCTGAGATGGTTTTCCTAACTCAAATGACTTTTCCCTGCCTTTGAGCTGAGAATTCACCCTGCCATTTCTTACTCTCTTCACTAAAACTAAGGAGGAAGAAAGTTCTGAAGAGCCATCCCAGTAGTCTGTGGCAAGTGCACTGCATGGCAGAGATTCGGGTCTCTTTGTCTTTCTAAGGCAGAATGTTTTTTTTCAGGGAGGTATTCATAACCATCATCTCAGTCAGAGATGATGGTATTTATTGGTACTTATTTCACCAAAGGGGCACAGTACCATCATTATTTTGAACTTAGAAAACTGGCCAGGCACGGTGGCTCATGCCTGTAATCCCAGCGCTTTGGGAGGCTGAGACAGGTGGATCACCTGAGGTCATGAGTTCGAGACCAGCCTGGCCAACATGGCGAAACCCTGTCTCTACTAAAAATACAAAAATTAGCTGGATATGGTGGCATATACCTGTAATCTCAGCTACTTGGGAGGCTGAGGCAGCAGAATTGCTTGAACCCGGGAGGCAGAGATTGCGGTGAGACGAGATCCTGCCATTGCACTCCAGTCTGGGCAACAGAGGGAGACTCTGTCTCAAAAAAAAAAAGAAAAAGAAAAAAAAAAGGAAAGAAAACAATAGGCATGAAGAACTCAGTAGTTCACAAAATGTTGCCAAGCTGAGATTCTACCAGACTTGTTCTCATAAACAGGTAAGAATCATGCATAGCATATTAATTATCTAGAAAGTTTTCTTTTGGAAAATAGTTTGTTCTCTTAAGTGATTGGTACATTTCATGCTACTAATAATATCTGTTCTACCCACTGTATTGGTCAGTGTTGTCCAGAGAAACAAAACCACTAAGATATATGTGTGTGTATATATGTGTGTGTGTGTGTACAAAGGGCAGGCTGGAAATTCAGGTAAGAGTTGATGTTGCAGTCTTGAGAAGAGTTCCTTCTCCTTCAGGAAACCTCAGTCTTTGCTTTTAAGACCTTCAAACTGATTGGATGAGGCTCACCTACATTATGGAGGGTAATCTACTTTACTCAAAGTCTATTGGTTTAAAAGCTAACCATGACCAACATGTATCTTCAAACAACCAGGCATTATAGCCTAGCCAAGTGGACACATAAAATTAGCCATCACATGTGGAAGCTTGTTTGCCTTGCAAGACTTAATCAGGGTTGCTATGTAGCTTGTTTTCCTCTATGGCCTAAATAGTGTGCCTGGCCTGGTAACCCAGCCCTCTCCCCTGGGCAGAGGGAAATCACTAGGGCACCTCAGAGTGATAGGGGTTGTTCCTTCTCTCACTGTTTTTTTCTTCCTTTCTTTTATCAGAGGTGTTGCTGAGGATGCATTCTGTTGGAATCTGTGGCTCAGATGTCCACTACTGGGAGGAGGGTCGAATTGGGAATTTTATCGTGAAAAAGCCCATGGTGCTGGGACATGAAGCTTCAGGAACGGTCGAAAAAGTGGGATCATTGGTAAAGCACCTAAAACCAGGTCAGCAAGGTCCTTCGACTTATGTGTTCATCCAACATAAACATATGTGCATGCTTTCTTTGGGCCAGACCCTCTGTTAAGCTCTGGATACAGCAGGGAACAAGACAGTTTTGGTCCATACTCACATGGATCTTACCTTACACAAGAAAAGAGGGACCTGGAGCAGACAGATAGTTACTTAGTCACCATGTGTTAAGGGTGGTAGAGGAGAATGCAGGTTGTGACTCGTGTCTTTTATCCAGACCCTTGGTTCATTTGAGGAAGGGACAATTAATCCAACATCTGGAGCCAAGTAAGAAATAAGCCAGGTAAAGGGCTGGAGAAAACATTTGAGGCATAGGAACCCAAACCACCTTTAGGTGCTGTGAACCAGGGCCTTGGATATGATGTTTGATTTTTATTAGATGGCTGGGAAACCACCATTATTCTTCCTAGATTTACTTAATTCATCTTCCCAGAGGGAGGAATTCTCAGCTGTGGCAGCCTGTGTTGTTCCCTGATACCATGAATTAAATCCAAGTTGTCTTGGCATAGTTAGCTGTTGGCTTTAACCTTCCTTTACCGGTGAGGCTGCTGTGCAGCCAGGAAATAAGGTCACATTATTTGGGGGAAGGTGGAGGTTGACAGGAGGCACCATCCTGTGTTAGTTATAAAGCTCTCTGAGCCCAACCACATGCAGAGGGATTGGCCAGCTGTGAAGAAGTCAGGCATGTGTCTTGTTTAGGGATGTTAAATCATTCATCATTAGTGGAAGTCAAGAAAGCTCCTATGGTGTTATGAGGTTATTTCATAGTGGAATGTTTATAGCTTCCAATAGCCACTGGTGATTGGTTCTCACCTGTGGGACAAAGTCTCTGACTATAAATTATAACAAAGGGTGGGTTTCTCTAAATGTAAATTATAACAAGGGTTTAGTCAGTTTTCTACAATGAGCTCAGTCTTATGCCACGAGCCTTGAGGGATATAGAAAAATGAGCAGATATGATCCCTGGATGCTTAGATCGATGTGGAAACGCTAGATGTCAGGCCCTACATAAATACCAGCAATTAGACAGCAAGCCCATAGGATACAATTAGGTGTGGGAAAGAACAGGCTGTAGGAGTTCAAAGGGCATTTGCTGTTTGCAGAGGTGGTTAAAGAGTTCATGGAGGAGATAGGTCTTTGAGCTAGACATCTAACAGTAGTAACATTAATAAGAAGGTAGCTAATATTTATTGATTTGCTACATTAGTCTCCGTGTTAAACACTTAGATGTACAATTCTTTCTTTCTTTCTTTCTTTTTTTTTTTGAGACGGAGTCTTACTCTGTCACCCAGGCTGGAGTGCAGTGGTGCAATCTCACCTTGCTGCAACCTCCACCTCCTGGTTCAAGTGATTCCCATGCCTCAGCCTCCTGAGTAGCTGGGATTAGACATTCACCACCACGCCTGGCTAATTTTTGTATTTTTGGTGGAGATGGGGCTTCACCATGTTGGCCAGGCTGGTCTTGAACTCCTGACCTCAAGTGATCTGCCCACCTTGGCAGTAATTTGGGTAACTTGCTGTAATTATGGGTCTGAGCCACTGCGCCTGGGCTATTTATTTCATTCTTGAAACAACTCTATGAGATAGGCATTATTATCTTCATTAGTTGAAGAAGAAATTGAAGCCTGATTATTGCCCAGGGTCACTCACTAGTTTGTCTCAGAGCTGGGATGCCCATCCTGGTCTTTTGGACTCTAGAGCAAGTGCTCAGAACCACTGGGCTACCCAGCATCTTCATACTTGAGAAAGGTTTTACATTTGAGATCTTGAAGAGGTCAGAGCTAATATTCTAGTTAAGAGGAAGCGAACAGGCTGGGTGCGGTGGCTCATGTCTGTAGTCCCAGCACTTTGGGAAGCTGCGGTGGGCAGATCTCTTGAGGTGAGGGGTTTGAGACCAGCCTGGCCGATATGGTGAAACTCTGTCTAAAAATAGAAAAATTAGCTGGACGTGGTGGCACGCACCTGTAGTCCCAGCTACTTGGGAGGCTGAGCCAGGAGAATTGCCTGAACCCAGGAGGCGGAGGTTGCAGTGAGCTGAGATCGTGCCACTGCATGCCGGCTTTCCAGCCTTGGTGAGAGACAGAGCGAGACTCCATCTCAAAAAAAAAAGAGGAAGTGCACAATCAAATTACACATGCGAGAGTAACACATCTGGGTGCGGATAAGTCTGTGCTGCTCAGGGCAGAGGTTTTGTGTTGGGGAGTTATTGGAGATGATAAACATGCATAATCTTTATAAAAGTCCCTCTTTAAAAAGCATTTGGCTGGGCATGGTGGCTTACACCTGTGATCTCAGCACTTTGGGAGGCCGAGGCAGAAGGATTGCTTGAGCTCAGGAGTTTGAGACCAGCATGAGCAACAGAGGTTGACCCTGTCTCTATGAAAAATAAAATTAGCTGGGTGTGGTCGTGCGCACCTGTAGTTCCAGCTACTCGGGTGGCTGAGACAGAAGGATCACTTAACCCCCGGAGGTTGAGTTTGCAGTGAGCCATGATTGCACCACTGCACTCCAACTTGGGTGACAAAGCAAAACCCTGTCTCAAAAAATAAAATAAAATAAAGCACTGTAAAACTGTGAAATGTTATGTTATCATAATATAATCATAATTAGAAGGTAAAACTGAATAGTATGAAAACTCCATCTGATTATAGAGGATCTTGAAGGCTAAGTGGAAGAATTCATCCTTAATGGCATAGGCATAATTTGCAGAAAGTTAACTGTACAGGAAAGAAAGTAGAGGGAGTCAGAGGAGATAGAAGGAAGAGACAAATACAGACATTTTATTTTTTTGAGACAAAGTCTCAGTCTGTCGTCCAGGCTGGAGTGTAGTGGCACCATCTCGGCTCACTGCAACCTCTGCCTCCCAGGGTCAAGTGATTCTTGTGCCTCAGCTTCCTAAGTAGCCAGGATTACAGGCACACACCACCACGCCTGGCTAATTTTTGTATTTTTAATAGAGACTGGGTTTCACTATGTTTGCCAAGCTGGTCTCAAACTCCTGACCTCAGGTGATCAGCCCTCCTTGGCCTTCCAGAGTGCTGGGATCACATAGGCATAAACCACCGTGCCAGCAAAATATAGACAGATTTTGGTGCTCATAAGGATTTCTGTGGGTCCTTTTCTTTTCTTAGGATACAAAATTTGGATTTAAAGTCTTTCATATGTTAACTTTGACTTAAAATTCTAATCAACAAATCTAGAAAGAAGACCACAACTCATCAAATATTTCCTAATGTTCATTTACAGAATTTAAACATATAAGTCAGCCGGGCGCAGTAGCGCATGCCTATAATCCTAGCACTTTGGGAGGCCGATGTGGGCGGATCACTTGAGGTCAGGAGTTCAAGATCAGCCTGGCTAACATGGTGAAACCCCATCTCTACTAAAAATACAAAAATTAGCCAGACGTGGTGGTGTGCATCTGTAATCCCAGCTATTCAGGAGGCTGGGGCAGGAGAATTTTGTGAACTCGGGAAGTGGAGGTTTCAGTGAGCTGAGATCATGCCACTGCACTCCAGCTTGGGCGACAGAGCAAGACTCTGTCTCAAATAAATAAATAAACAAACAAATAGATAAACATACATATGAGTCAATAACTCTAAGGCATGGAAGCATTCCTATGTTTTTTAAGACTAGACTAGTCAAGTGCAGTAGTGAGAAGCGAGGAAAGAGTAGAACAAGGAGTATTATCTGTAACTGACTGTGAACAATCAATTAAGATGACGCACTACCTTCAGCCCAGCCTTCACCACTTATTTTAATGAGCACTAACTATGTACCAGGACTCTACACTGTTCTGTGAGTACTTTGAACACAAAAATACTTAGGAAAAATAGCTTATCATGTCCCTGCTGAATAAAGGCCAGACCTTCCATGGCCTCAGTAGGCCTCACAGGGTTCTAACATCCTCTTCGGGCTCCGGAGGGCCCGAGCACTCATACAGAGGTGAGCGAACAGTCAAGTCTCCACAGCTTATCACTGTGTGAGCACCTGAGCTTCTGTTTCCTCATCGCTAAAGCAGAGATAACACCATCTTGTTGGTTTATGGTGAGGGAAGGGAGATTTTGTGATGCGCCTTTCCTGATACCTGGCACACAATGGGCATTTGGTAAATGGCAGGACTGGATCCCACCATTATTAGTAAACTCTATTCTGTGTGGTAGGTTTAAGCACCTCTTCCCAGTGGAGTCTGTCCGTCCAACTTTTCCTGAATAACCAGGTACTGAGGCAGGATAAGGCCTGTGGGTCCTTTCCTGGGCTCCTGCCACATGGCTTCCTGCCTCACTGGCGTTCAGCCGTGTTGGTCTCCAGCTTGTTCTGGGCTCAGGCAGGAGGGTCTGCCAGGGTTTCCAGTCTTGTCTCTGATTCGCTGGTATGGGTCACTCCCCAAATTCGGACGGAGTTTAAATCCAATTGTAACTTTGATGTGTAGCAATACCTGTGATATTAAAATCCCCTGTAAGTCTGCTTTCTGTTTTCTGCAAACTTGGAGGCCATTGCTATATTGACAGCGTATTTGGAGTTCCCCTACATAGGGCTGGGTACCTGCCTGAAGATGAACCATCTAAACCATCCCAAAACCTCGGGATAACTATTTGTCCTCAATTATTCCTACCTCTCTCCCTTTCTTTACAACAGAAAAGTGCTACTGTCTTTAACCAACAGCTTTTACTTGTCACATTCCAGGGAAATTTTTCCCAATAAGTAATGCCCTTCTAGATACTAATGACATTTGTGTCCCATGGTTTGTTTTCTCCCAATTCACAAATTCTATGTTTAGCAATAAAAATTTGTCTAGCACAACACTAGACACTATGGAAAAATAAATATGGAGCAGAAGACTAACTAATCCTGAGGCATTCCCATCCTTGATGAGGAGGCAAGATAGTCATGAAAAACAACTAGGGATGGACGTGGTGGCTTACACCTGTAATCCCAGCACTTTGGGAGGCCAAGGCAGGAGGATTGCTTGAGC